TCCCCCTCCCAACCCCGTCCCGCCACGGCAGGAGCTGAGGCTACACAGAAACCTTTATTCTGGGAAATGGGGAGCCAGGGCTGGGACAGGGGACAAGGGCTGCAGCACCCTGGGGGGAACAGGGGGCACAGGGGCCACCCGAGGGCTGCAGAGTGAGTCCTTGGTCCCAGCCCACGCGTGGCTGCAGTGGTGCAGAGGGGGGCTCTGCCCACCAAACCCCCCTGGGGCAGCTCGGGGACCTGGGTGGGGGCACAAACGGCCCAGAGCGCGGTGACGGGGAGCGTGGGGACACGAGCCAGGCACAGGGAGCTGCACGCAGGAAGCCAAACCCCAGGGTGGCACAGCCCCAGCCCCCCGAGGCAGGGGCTCCAGGGAGGCACAAGCACCCCCTGCACAGCGGCAGGGCCAGGGGACGCTGCCCGGGGGCGAGCAGGGGGTCCGGGGAGCAGCAGAGCCCCCGGGGCCGGCGCATTAGCGGATGCTGCCGTCGCCCTCGCTGCTCTGCAGCTTCTCCCGCTCGATGGACCACACCAGCTCCTGCACAAACTTCATCTCCGAGGCCACCTGCTTGGCCAGGGCCTCGTAGTGGTTCTCCAGCTTGCGGTAGCGCCGCTTGAGCCCGTTGGCCGCCTGCACCACGCTCTTGGTCTCCTCCTGCGCCTGCTTCTTCAGCGCCTCCGTCTTCTGCAGCTCCTGCCGGATCTGCCGCAGGTCCTGGCTGATGCTCTCGTTCTCCTCTTTGTACCACGACTCCTTCTCCTCGTAGATGGACAGCAGCGCCTCGATGTCCTCCTGGAAGGACTTCTTGTTCCTCTCCAGCTCCCGCAGGCTCTCCTCGGCCGCAGCCACCTCCTCCATGACCTTGGAGAAGCGCTCAAAGTTGATGTAGGTGTTGTTGGGGGGCATGCTGGAGTGGGATTTGATGGTGTACTCCTTCAGGCGCGTCGTCTTCAGCCGGCGCCGCTCGGGCTTCTTGCAGCTGTCCTCGTTGCGGACGTTCCTCCTCTTGATCACCTGTGGCAGGGACAGCGGTGGCTGCAGTGACACCCAACCGGCCCCCGTGGGGGTGAGGGAGCAGCAGAGCCCCAGCCCCGGGGGGTCAGACACCCCAAAAGTGCCAATTCTTTAACTTCTCACCTTAATCCAGGGGTGCTCCAGGCTCTGGGCGATGGTCATTCGCTTCCTGCAAACACAGCAAGGCTGGGATCAGGACAGAGGCTTTGTTCTGATTTCCCTGTTAAAGCCCTGGGACAGCAGCTTGGATCCTGTGGGGTCTGGCTGAGCCTGGACAAACTCGCTGCACTCAGGGCCCCCCCAGGCAGGAGCTGCATCCAGCCCCCAACTCCTCAAACTGCCTCCCAAGAGAAACACAGGCAGAGCATCCCTGGGAGCCTCCCAACTCCTCTGCTCCTTCCCAAACCCTGAGCCCTGGGGGCCCAGCTCAAACCCTCCCAAACCTCAGTGGAGCTACTGCACCCTTGAGGGATCCCAGAATTCACCCCACCCTGGCTCAGGCAGGAGAGGGGGAGCTGCCTGTACACAGCAGGCTGGGCAGGGGGGGCTGTCCCCTCTCCCAGAGGAACCCCCAGCTCTGCTCCCTGTTCCTCACTTGGGGTCCTTGACGAGCAGGCGGCGGATGAAGTCCTTGGCCAGCTCGCTGGTGTTGCTGAAATATTCCTCATCGAAGTCGTAGTTGACAGCAGAGATGTTGGTCAGCGTCTCCTGCTTTGTCTCCCCCAGGAACGGGGAGGCTCCACTCAGCCTGAGAAAAGAGAGGGTTGGGACACCCCAAAAAGGCTCCAGCCTGAGGTGGGGGAGCTGATCCTGCAGCCCTGTCCCCTCCAGGGCTGCCTCATACTCACAGGATGTAGGTGATGACCCCGATGCTCCTGGAAGAGAAAGGGAGAGGAGGCTGAAGTCACACAGAGGCACGAGGGGGTTGGCTGCTGGAGCCATGGGAAGGATCTCGGGAGGGAAATCACTCACCACATGTCGGCCTCCAGCCCCAGGGGTTCGTAGTTCACGATTTCTGGGGCTTTAGGAGCAAAGGGGAGAAAATGGGTTTATTGTGGGGGAAGGAAGCCTGGCCCCATGGACACACCCTGGCAGCAGCACCGGAGTGCTGGGTGTCTCCTCCAGGATTAATCCAAAGCTTTCAGCACCCTGAGGAGCCCCCAGGAACGCTCACCTACAAACTCTGGGGTCCCAAAGATATTCTTGAACTCATTCCCAGCCTCGATCTTGTGGGCGATCCCGAAGTCGATGAGTTTGATGCGAGGGTTTGGCACATTCTTGTCCAGCAGCATGATGTTCTCTGGCTGTGGTGGGGAGAGGAGCTGGCTCTGTCCCTACACACCAGCCTGTGGGAGCTGGGCTCCTCATTCCAGAGGATGTGCCTCAAATTGGGAGAGATCCCAAGCACCAGCCCCACTGCACTGCAGGAGTGCACTGACCCCCACTTCTCAGCTCTGATTTCCAGACCCCAGCTGGGGGCTCATCCCTTCTCCCAGAGCTGGACACGGGGCGGCTGCAGCTCCCAGAGCTCACCTGGGGGCTCATCCCTTCTCCCAGAGCTGGACACAGGGCAGCTGCAGCTCCCAGAGCTCACCTTCAAGTCGAAGTGGGCGATGCGCTTGGAGTGCAGGTAGTGCACCCCGTCCAGGATCTGCTTGAGGAACTGGGTGGCCTCTTCCTCCGTCAGGGATTCCTTCTCGGCCAGGAAATCGAAGAGCTCCCCTCCGGACACCAGCTCCAGGATGAGCACCACGTCGGTCTTGTTCTCGAAGATGTCGTGCAGGGTGATGATGTTGGGGTGCTGGATCTCGCGCAGGATGTCCACCTCGCGCTCGATCTCCTCGCGGCTCACGCCCCTGCGGCTGGACGACAGCCGCCGCTTCTTGATGAACTTGGCCGCGTATTCCAGGCCCGTCTTCCTCTCCCGGCACTTCCGGACGATGGCGAACTGGCCGCTGTGGGGCAAGGGGAGGAGCTGCAGGCTGGGGATCTGCAGGACGCCGTTTCCCCCCGGGGAATGCCATGAACTGGGATCTGGTGATGCCCATCTGCTCCCCGGCTTTGCACCACCCCGGGTGGAGGAAGGAAATTCCTCCCAGGAATGTGGAATGCCAATTCTCCCTGGGCTGTTGAGGTGCTGCTGTGATCACCCAGGGTGGGAGATGCCCTTCAGCCCCCATTCCAAGCCAGGAGGCCCCAGGAGCAGATCCCAGAGCCCGGTGGTCCCAGGAGACCCTAAACCTCTGATGGAGAAAGCAGGTGGAGGGGGAAATGCCTGAAATCAGAGTGACTGCACCTGGACCCAAGACTCCTTTATAGCTTTATACATCCCTGGACCAGGGCCAGGGACACACACAGCCCTGGGGGGGTTCATCCATGGGCTCACAAACAACCACAGCCACAGAGGGCCAAGAGAACACGGAGCAACCCCTGGAAGTTCCTCTGCTTTGCCACTTAAGTGACCCAAAACTCTTTTGCTGCCCAGGCCTCCGAGGAGGAGCCACAGAGCGGGGCTGGCACGGCCGAGGCAGCGCTGGAGGATCCCAAAGCAGCTCCCCCCGCTGCCGCCTCTGCATCCCGGCTGATTAAATCCCATCCGCAGGCTCTGAGTCACCCTGGATCCCTCCCACAGGCTCCAGGCCAGGCGCAGCCATCGAGGAGGGCCGGAAGCTGCCAGCCCCGGACGGGAGCTCCACCGGCACAAACATTAATTAACACTTTTCTTTTTAATCTCTATCTGCTTTTTAATCTCTTATCTGACTCTGCACAGCCCTGGCCCTGCTGCCTACAGAGGGGGCACAGGGACACCACAGGAGATCCAGCAGCCGGATCCAGTGAAGCTCCCGGCTGGGGGTGCAGCCATGGAAGCCCCCCCAGAACGCAGCGGGATGTTCCTCACCTGCCCAGCTCCTCTCCCATCTCATAGAAATCCTCCACGCTCTCCTGGCGGAAGGTGGACATGGCTGCGGAGCCCTCTGGAGCGGGAGCCGCCCCGGCGCTGCCAGCGCTGGATATCAGGAGCGGGGAGCAGCCCGGGATCAGCACCTGTGGCACCGGGAAAAGGGGGGGCTGTGTCCCAGGAGCTCACACCGACACCCGGCACAGGGATCCCCGGGGACTGTACAGCCCCGGGCTGGGCGGTGCCGCGGGTTCGTCCCGGGGATGCCCCCGGTCTCACCACACCCCAAAGCCCAGGGATGGAGCAGGGAAGGAGGACAGAGAAGGGGCCACAGCCTCTCCCTGCTCCACAGGCCCCACACCCGCTGTCCACCCAACCCTCCTCATCCCTTTCCTGGCCCACCTCCCCTCCTATCCCAACCCTCTGCTGACCCTCCCTGCCCCACAGCCCCCCACCCAATCCCCACAGCCCCTCCCCATTTCCAGTTCCCCGGAGCCCCTCTCACACCCACAGCCCCCCAATCCCTCCCCATCGCTTCCCTTCACCGCATCCCACCCATCCTAATCCCCACCCCTCCTTTTCCAACCCCACTGCCCCTCCCAATCCCACAGGCCCCACAACCCCTCAGTCCCTCCCCACCCCTTTCCCGACCCACAGGCCCCAAAACCCCCCCCAATTCCTCCCTTCCCCACCCCACC